TGGTCCTTAGGTTGCTACTTCTGGTAACAGGCCTCTTCTGCAAAATCGATAACGACGATTTTAGTCGGACAAAAATATTGGATGCAACTGCATTGTGTAGACACGAGCAATTATATTTTATTATTACCCTAGGTTGCTCGTAATCTTCGTGAGAATCAACATCATCGTCATTTTCATCATCGGATGGCCCAGACCCAGTACACTTTCTTGCATTATGATTGGTAGAACCGCACTTACTGCAATGCTTTTGCCTTCTCTTCGGTACTGTTTTCGACTGATTTTGAGTGGTGGGAGGATCAACATCGGTGTCATCGCCACCGCCACCTTCTTCCGAAACACCAGCATTCGGGGCATCGCCGTTTGAGGTTGGCTTCACATAGCCAACAGGATGTGGGCATCGGGTCCTATAGTGGCGCCATTCCCCACAATTACTACACTGTCGTGGTTCTCCTTTCTTCCTTTTAGAATTTTTAGCCCCCGAACCTTTAGCTTTGACCTGTAATGGATCCAACAAAATATCATTCACCTTCGGTCTATTAATGCCGGGTATGTCCACGTTGCCAGTGTCCACCATGTCCAGCTTTTCACATAATGATTGAATTCCCTCATGAGCAATCTTGAAGCACTCACTAGATTTTGCCCCTTTTAACATTAGTTGTAAGCTGTTTTGTTGAATAGTACCATATTTGATTGACAAAATATTTTATACAAAGTGAGTAAAATTAACGTTCACCTAGCTTCGAACCAATATTAAAAAAAAATAGTCATGGGAAACCTCAATGCGAAAAGTTGTGATTCATCTATTATGTCCGGTTCCTCCAAGCTCTCTAGTGTCTTCAGCTTCTTTGACCATCTTCGACGTACTAGGCCTTCAGGAAGTTCCAGTATGCTCTCTTCTTTCAGTACAAAAATCATATGACGGCATGGTATTCCCATATAATCGTAGTGATTACAACTACACTCCATTGCAAAGGGTTCAACTGTGTACGTGACTTGAAAAACCTTATCCATGCCAGACACCTTGACCTTGTACACACACTCAATTTCCGATCGCTCTGACTCCACCTTTATGCAACATGCCGACTTTTCAACCTCGTCTCTGAATAAGAAGAATGTGTTCTTTGTGAAAACCGCCGCTCCACTCTTCTGAAGTGAGACTAAGACATTGCTTGTGATGGTTCGTTCTCGATGAATGGATTCAAAATCAGCATGACGCTCATTCTCCCTCATATCCCTAGTCCAACGATCAAAGTGAATAAAGAACTCAAGGAGATTTTTATCCTTCTCGATATAGTTCAGTCCTTCACATCTTGATGTTGTACTCAAGCCTGCGAAGAACTTCGAACGCAAATATGCAAACCCCCCATTCATGTCTTTGCACAAATAAATTGGAGACCCAATTGTTGCGCTGAAGGGAGCATTCCTCAACCACTGATTTCCACTTTTTTTCGAATTCTGAAGGTTCCCAACCAGCTGACACAAAATGCTTCCATCGGGGCAAAAAAGTAGGATGATTCTTCACATTTCTAGTTATAGTCTTGTCTATATGCCAGGAACATAGACGATGTGTTGCATTGGAAAATACTTTATGAATTGCATTACAAATTGCTTTATCCCCATCTGTAATAACAGTCTTGGGATTTACACCGCCTAGCCTTCTCTTCAAAGCCCCCAACACCCAAATATAATTTTCTCCTCTCTCGTTAGCCAAGAAAGCACATGCAAATACGCAAGTTTGCGAATGGTGGTTGACACCTAAAAAAGTACAAAATAAGTTAGATTATGCAAACTGCTAGGGTTATTTTAGCATGCTCGGGATCATTCTATGTGTGAAGGAAAAGTACCTGAAAAAATCACGAGAGGCATCTAGTAAATGTTCCTTTTGTAAGTAGCATCGAATGACAGTAATTCTCCAAAGCATGCATAATCAGCAACAGAAACACTATCGGCCCACAAGATGTTAATAAGCCGGTCGCCGTCATCCTTCTTTAGATCAATAACGAAATGATCGCTCGCACTGCATTTAGCTTGCAGGTAGGCTAGGGCTGTTGCGGCATCACCTTCACTGATTTGTTCTTTCCTCTCTTTGTCCACATAATTATATGCATCCTTCCTCGTGTACCCCAAATTGTCGTAGCCTCTTGCTTCTGATACGGGCAGATTCACAATTTGAGAAGTTTTCATACCTGCAGCTCTTCTAAAATTTATCGCTGCTTTAACTACATCAATCATACAACGTTTCCCTTTCATGTAGTGTCTATAATTCTCTGGGGATCGTTTCATGTGTGTGTACATCATCAAACTGGTGCACATACCACTTCCCATCGACCTTGTCGTGTTTAACACGCATCTTGGCTCTGTAGTTAAATCTGGTCTCCCCTCTTGCTTCTCTCTTACGTTCTGTGCTTTTCATGCGCCTCTTTCCCTCGCTAGAGCATACATAGTCACGCCATATCATCACTTGGTTCTTATCACGATCAATGTCTGATTTTCTGATGTCAAAGCCTTTGACTAACCCGTAGTCCATGTAGAAATCATAGGCTTCTTCTGTATCATCGAACTCCATTTTTTTAATATCTTCAGGTTGTAGAAATATGAGATCGGCGACATTATCTTCCTGGGAGGTGTGACTGGCTCCGACACCATCGTTTTCTTGGACTGGCTCGGACGTCAATAGTAGGACTGCCTCTAACGTCAATGGTGGGTCTGCCTCCGACGTCATTGTCACTGCGGGAAATTTTGGTGAACCAACGATGTAGATTACAAAACCCTACTGGGAATGATGGCCGAATTAATGCTTGAATGGGCCACTTAATAATTATCCCCATTAAACCGAATCATAACACGATTTGTGATATCTTATTTTTTTGGTAGGAACGATTTGAACTTTCTATTCTTTATCTTAGTGATTTCTTTACCATTTTCAGAAATAACGAAAATATTTAAAATGAAAAGGAATGCTTAGTAAAGCCAAACGCCAACTAACTCTATCTGTGTACTACGTGTATGGGGAAGGATCAAATATTAATATGAGCGAATATTTACTAATAACACTCAATTTTTTATTTAATCGAAAAACAAAATATATTTTTATTTTTAGGTTTAATAACTACCCATGTTTATCCCAAGTTCATGTACCTTAGACTAAACCCTAACTATTTTTCCGCGGGAAAATATGCCGCCACAATTTATCCCTGTAACCTTGTATATATAATTAATCTTCAGCGGTAGAGCAGTGGTTCCATATCCTTCTTTGCCGCAATTTTGAGTACAGACTAAAGCTTAGAGGCACAACATGGAAAATAGGAGGATTACTCGCTTTTCGTCCAAGCTTGTGGTATGTCTAATAGCTCTTTAACCATTGAGATTCATTCTAGTTAATTTATTAATCGTAGGTTCACTGTCATTGAAGGAGACCAACGAATTTGTGACTCCAACAAAGAAACCAAGGCTACCCATAGGTGTGCGCACTCCATCCACTCCTGCTGCAGTCATCGTTTTTATTTCGGACAATGAATCTGACTCTGAGGTAACACCAAAGAAGCCAAATAGAAAAAGTATTTCCCTAAGTTCTGTTGACAAGGTAATAAAGGTGTCCTATTTGCCATTGAAGTGTTCTTTGCCGTTATTCCGTCAGACATAACGAATGCATTTCGACTCGTGTTTATTTGTGGTCCTTATTCTAGGTTGTTTTGAAGTTTAAGCTACCTACTGGTATGGAAAACAATGATGAGCAAATCCAACTTGCTCACTATATAATTCTAGCCAATCTGCCACCTGACGAAGTATTTGTCAAAACCTCAAACAACTCTTGTACTAGGAAGTCATTGTGGTCCTTAACCCCTCGCTCATTCGTAGATGCTGAAGTAATCTACGGAACTCCAAAATTTTGTTTTGTTTGTCCACCATCAATGCTTTCTACGTAAAAATATTTTGTAAAAAATCTATAGTATCATGAAGTATTTTTTGTCCATGTTGTATTAGGTTATAACAGCGGTGCCCTGTCACTTGACTCTAGAAGAGTTGTGGACAAATGCTAACGACGGAAAAGGAGTGTGCTATCTGCCTGCTGAACTACAGGTTGTGGTCCGATTTTTCTTAAGATTAATTTCCTGTCACCAAACAAATACAACACATGTTTTTTTAACGTGAATGATATTGTGTCACTACAAGAAAAAGTGCTTTTTGCAAATAAATTATTTGGTTCCTAAAGGTCAAAATTTGGTTATAAATACATTTTTGTAACCAAATATTTTTGGTAGCAGAATTGGTCGCTATAGCCGCGTTACCAATACCTACCGCAACCAAAATATAGATTGGTAGCGAAAAATAAAGATATCGCAACCAAATTTTGCCAATAATAAAAACCCTTGATTTTTTGCGACCATTTAGATTTTGTTTTCATAGTCTAAACTAATGGTTGGGAATGTGGGTGATTGGTCGTCATAAGTACAAATGACAACCAATCAGATATGACTATTAGTAACCTATTTTTTTGGATGCAAATAGAATTTACTTACGTTTTATAGGTGACTATTTGATTTGGTCGGCAAATCAACCTATCTCAACCAATTAGAGCATTTTGGTGACCAATAGTTTTAGTTATGAAAGTTTAACGCAACATTAAAAATTGGTCGTAAAAAATACATATGTTGACCAATTATATCATTTTTGGCAACTAATAATTTTAGTTATGAAATTGCTATACAACCATAAAATTTGGTCATCAAAAACCCATATGCCAACCAATTACATTATCTTATGCAACTAATTTTATTAGTTATGAAAATTTAACACAACCATGATAATTGGTCGTAAAATATATGAATGACAACCAATCATACCCTTTACGACTAATTCTTATGGTTATAAAAGTTTGAATACAACAATAATAATTGTTGCGGTAAACACATTAGCCGACCAAAAAACTCATTTCATATGACCAATTTGATCAATGAGATTTTGGTCACTAAACAAAAAAATATTAAAAAATAATAGAATTATAATATACAATTGTTTCATATAACAAAATTGTGTAGTAACCAAAATATAATTACACAATTAATTCTTTAGTGACCAAAATCACAATTACACAATTTATTGTTTAGTAACCAAAATCACAATTTATATGTTGAAGGAAATTACTGTTGTCGACTTGTTTCCTGCAATTTTGGCTAGCTTGCCTTTGTACTCCATGAGCAGCTCCAGCTGCTGAAGCAAAGTTCAAGTAGTAATTAGTAACTTGAATACTTGATCATACAAATTTACATTAAGGAAAGGAATCAAAACCAGTACCAACAGAAGGCAAAGTTGGCTCCAAAAGAGACCAGAATCAACTGCACAATCTAGGGTCTTGCTCTGTGCATTCCTTAACCCCAATCTTCGCTGGCTTCGGATGGGCCAACCGAGGATTTGTTTTCCACCAGATCCTATCTATAAAATTATCAAGATGTATTATATAGAAAAAGAAGTAAAAAAAAAAAAAGGAATCGAATCAATTAGTCTTCTGGTTGGTTCCAGACTTCCATTGAACAAAACCATTTTCGACAATCACAAATCAATGGATCTCTCCAAGTAAATAGCATACCAATCCGAGGAAAAACAAAGACCGATAGACTAAGAGAGACAACACACACCTGGAACCAAAAAGCACCGTGCAAATTGGCGATCTCGATTTGTCCTGCCCCCTCGACACACGTATCCATGCTCCACTTCCTCCTTTAGAAACACATCTCTCTTTCGCCGATTTACCATCAAGCTACCCCAAGCATCTATAGGGGCGAAGATGAACTCTCACACAGAAAGGGACACAGAGAGAAATACAAAGACAAGATTCAGTAAAACTGTAAAGTAAAAGGTAGAAGCTACCTGAAGGTTGATTGGACTCAAGTATACAGAGGCAGAATTCAATTATGTTAGTCTGGTAACTATAGGTAACTTATTGTAAGCCAAAAACTCAGGGAGACGTGTGAAGAGAAGTATTTCATTATAGACATGAAACAAACAGTTGTAGTTAAAATGTCTAACATGAAATCAAGAAACTTTTGAACTAACCATATGTACTGTAATACTCATATTCACATTTCACTAGTCCAACAAAATTGTTGGTGGTCTTGATATCTGGGAAAAGAACTCCATGGTCACCCACTTCCACAATAGCTACAGCCCATTCAACATCATTTTTAAGTTCAAAATTTTCACATAGACAACAGAATCAAATCCATTCATTGTAAAATAAGAAAAGTTCGATCATTAATTAACTGGAGGCATATAATGGAAGTTCACTGTAAACTTGAAGATAGGATGGGAATTGGGAAAGCAGAGGCACCATTACTCACCTGTTAGAGTCACCTCCATATGCAGAGATGTTGCTGCTGATACTAATCAGAGGAATTACAGATTTCTAAGTTCCCATGCTTCCATGATTGATCATCTCAGTTCATGATTCACCATTAAATTATGAAGCTCCTCTTGAGATCCTACTGCTTTTACTACAAAACAGATACACAAATAAACCAAAATCAGTAGGCTCCCATGTTTATGCTCCACCAACAGGATGACATTCACATTCATGAAAACAATACCATTTTACTAACATAAGGTAATAAACAACTAACTTAAGGTGACTACTGCCAGAGAATCTTTTTCATGACAATAGATAGATAGATAGAGAGTTAGAGAAAGAGTGAGCGCTAGATTATTACCTTAGAATAGAAACTCAAATCCAAGAGATTATTTGATGATTTCAGATCTGCGTTGATCACTACTGCCAGGCAGAACGTGGCCGGGCAGAACTCTAAACCGAAGGATATTTCATTAGTGGTAGGAAAGTTACAATGACCACATTCTTCTGTTTTTATTTATATTTTACAACCCAGTGATATGAAAAGGGTATCTTTCTCAGAAATGAAAAACAATACCTTGTCATCCAATCCAACATCTTCGAAACCAGAGAAAGCATCAGCATATGATACCTCAGCCCACTGCAATCAAGATTTGTTAGTTAGAAACGGGACTACAATCATGACGAGCTCTGATCGGAGCATCTTTGTCTCCTTTGATCTGGTTCAGCTAAGTTTCCTAGCCCTGCATCAGCTCGAGTTTTATGCTGCTAATTTAAAAGGCTATTAAGACTGAAAATGATAAAGAGCTTGAATTACTTACAATCACAATTACAATCAGACCACTATTAGCAATAGAATTCTAAACACTACGCTAGTGGTTGACAGGTCTATGGTGCTGATTTTAGAAAAAAATAGATATCTAGCTGAAATCCATAGCAGAGAAATGTGGCATCCTTGCACATCAAGACATTTCAACTATAAAAATGCTCCCGTACTGTCATTTCACTCTCAAAATCCACCATCGTCAGGGGATATGTTGAACAGAACATTAGGGACTAAGCTTATGTGTTTGTTTCTTTTCGGTCCCAAGGAAATAATGTAAACAAAAGTTAAAGTATCCGGTTAGAGATAAGTGCTTACATCAATCCTTATGACTTCCACTCTGTTCCATCCCAGGGAACCACAACCTAAAGTAGAAAACAACAAGATTAATTTAGAATAAGTTAAGAGAGCATTGTAAGGGAATCATGGCCAGCATACAACAAAGAAGACCTCTAGAGAAGAAAACTTAAGGTAAGGACAACATCCAAAATATATCACTTAGTTCGGTTACACATATATTCACAAATTGAAATACATACCTTTAAAAGAACTTTTCCCTGAAAACTTATATACTCCTGAGAATGCAATCTGAAGACAAAATCAAGGAATTTAAATAAAATCGACAAGTCTACAAATTGCATTATGTCGTATACAGTCAACTGAGCATAAAACATATACACACACAACTCAGGACTTGGTCATACAAATGCGAGTCCATTACAATGTCGACTGAGCATAAAACATACACACCTCTGACCTGGAAATGTTCGATAATCTACTTTGTGTTCTCACAGACAATATCTACATTCCTTGTCTTGGCCTCAATCCATAAGAAAGCCTCAGCAATGTCTCTATCCTAGAACAAATAATCAGTCAATCATTCGAATAGGAGCTCAACAACACTCAAATATTTCCATAACAAAGCAAAACTTATGGAACACACATCAATTCTCATGCTATAACCAAACATAGAAAGAAGCATATCATCTATCTATCATACAAGGAAGCCTTAACCAGTAGGTTCAAGAAAGAAGCTTGTTCTCCTAACCTAAACAAAACGATTAGATATATGAACCCCTAACATTGCACACTGCAAACATGCATACAGCAAAACCAAACCGTTATCTATATTCTCACACTACAAAGGAGAAAGAGACATTCGCAATTGGAACAATCCTAAGTTCTCATATGAGTTGGCCTTGCTTACGGAGAATCGGAGATTACCTAAGATCGATTTACGCACTGGAAACATAGGCTTCAATCTTGTCGATCGATTCCTTCGTCGAGGATGTTGAAGCTCGAATGGAAGAAGGTTTCGTGATTTGATTTTTAGAAGATGGATCACGCAGCGACGAGATTTCGCGATTGAGAGAGGAGATCCAGAAATCTTCGTTAATGGCGACACCGTCACTAAGAGGGACTCTACTCTCTTGGCGATCGATTCGGATGTGAGAAGGAAGCTCGACTTGTTTGAGCAAGGATTCAACGGCGACAGAGATCGAAATCGATTTGAGCACTCAGTCTGGTTCGCTGCTTCACCGATTCAACCGATGGCGGGAGCTAAAGGACGGTGATGAATCTGTAGTTGATTCCGCGGGCGAGATACTTGAGGAAGAGAAAAGGAAAGAGCGACGGACGACGGAAGGGTTAGAGGAATAAGGAAATTTTAGGACTTTAGGGTAGCCGAGTTGTTTTGTGTTGTAATTTTGTTGCAACTTCTTTTTTAAATTTTATTTATAATTTATTTTTCCAACTTTTGATATCTAATCACAAGAACCCTGACGTGTTAGTAGCTAGTAAGAAAAATACGACTTGCGGTATCCTGATTGTTATTTTTTAATTTCATTAACTCAATTGAATTGTTGCTCATCAATCATCATATATAATAAGTCGATGGATTGATTGTCTTCGAATTAGGATGGATGAAGTTGGGAAGCAAAATCTCCCATAGGATAAACAAAAAGACAACGTCTCCCCATTATTTTGATAGAGCTAGTTACTAGTAACACTAACAGTACTAAACAAAATGGCCCTGCTAGAAGTGTTTCATGGCTACTTGTTTAAAATGGCTATCGATTTTATAATTAAAAAACTGGTTGGAAAAAGTAAAAATACGTTATCAAAATTTTAATTGATTGCAACCAAAATATTTGGTTATGTAAAGTTTTTTTAAAAAAAGCTAAATTCATAACCGATACATTTGGTTGGAAAAAGTACAAATCATTACGTAACCAAATCTTTTGGTTGGAAAAACTAAAAATTATTTTGCTACCAATATTATTTGGTTGGAAAAAGTATAAATCATTTTGCAACAAAATTATTTGGTCTCTTCAAAATCTATTTGGTTGTAAATACCAGTCTTTTTGCAACCAATTTTATTTTGGTTGCAAAAACTACTTTTTCTTGTAGTGTGTTGACAAAATTTCAATTGTGCAACTACCACATGGGCAGGAACTAGTGATTTCATGTGGAATAACACCCAAGAGGGCATTAGACCTGTACGAATCAAAATTCCTTAGTCGAACCAATATGGTGAACAAGGTAAACTGTTCGTCTTAATAAGTATTACATGGTTTGCAGTTTATTTTTTAATACGTTTCTTAATTTGTACATATGGTATTTATGCAAGCCTTGTGGAAGATTCTCTATCGTGAACAAGGTCCGGGATTGTCGCCACCAAGGATTGCGGAGTTTTCGTACACAAATCTTTCAAAGGATCAAGAACAACTACATCGGTAAGTATTTCCATTTTGCGTGATATTAAACGACGGCTTATCAACTTGTTTATCATGCAATGCTTTCATTTTATGTAGGTCTGACAGTGGAGTCTGGGTCTGCATGTGGATGTATGGCTCAAGCTGGGACTCCTCTTATATTTGGGTAAAGACAAGTCTAGTTCACTGATCGCCCGTAACTATCACAGGAAAAATAGGCAAGGGTACCTATCGTTCTAATGTAGTATAGCAGGAAGCAAGGTCGTATCCACAGAGACTTCGTGTACTAGTACTCAGCTTTTACCTATTATCTAGTCAATCGTTTTTAGTTGATTTTCGTTTAGAAATAAAAACACACGCAATAATAAAAACACAATAAAGTAGTTTTCAAAGTAAAATCAAGTGGAGAAGGCGTTGTCCTGGAAGTGAATCCCCCTAATATGCATTTTACAGACAAGTTGAATTTAACATAGACGAGTGTTAATATCTTAGACCGTGAAAATTCCCAATTAAGTGTTAACCCGTTTGCACATGTATTAACACCCTTTTGACTTAAGAATCAAGTGAAACCGTGGCTTACAAAAATCTTAAACCAAAGCAATAACCAGATTTATGAACTTTCGTATTAGGTTTTTAAGCTAATCCAGAGGAACTACGTGACCCCATTGCCGGTGGCTCCGATCAATTCCTTCTTTTCACGAGGGATCTAACATGCAAAATTACCTCGCAGTCTCATTTACATGTATCAGATAAAATATACAATAGACGCGTACTATTGATACTTGCACATGATAAGTCGAGAAAAGATCGTAAGAACGAGAACAACACGTCTATATCAGAGATACCACTCAATCAAAGTAAAACATATTAGGGTTCATCAAATCCGGAACAACTAGAAGATTAGCCGGACATGATGAGATTTAGAAAGATGAAGGTTGAGAGCATAACCATGATGATGACGACGACAAAGACGGAGGGGTCGAGAATACGGTATGTATATTGAGTTAATAGACTACACCTAGCAAACATCTGACGGGGGAATAATCGTTGGGCGAAGACGGTGGAAACCGACCAATCTACCACCACAAATGATTATCAAAACCCCACAGAACAGAAGCTTCCTTCGGTAATCTCAATAACGCAATATACCACGGTATTCCCAAATACGAACACGAACATGAGAACCACGATGGATGAAATACGAGATATGACTAACGAAATGAAAAGAAGTAACAAGAGTTTGGAATGAAAAGTGAACAGAGTTTCGGCTAACTTCAAATACAAGAAAGGAAGAGCAAAGTGAAGCAAAAATGGTCTCTAGTGTGTGTGTCCTCCCCCTCTATTTATAGTACTTGCTTGAGCTACTTGCTTGTAATAAATGGACAAGCTGCTTGCTTGTCTCTCGGCCGCTTTGATAATGGCCAGCTGCTTGCTTTCATTCAATGGCCAGCTGCTTGCTTTCATTCAATGGACGAGGCAATTAGCAGATGCTTGCTTTCAAATAATGGAGCTGCTTGCTTCTTTGTTTGGACCAGCTTGCTTCAGCTACTAGCTTCACACGAGAATCCCAAAATGGACCAGCTTTTCCTTATGTTTAGCAATAGGCAGTTTGCGGTTTGACTCTGCATTGTTAATTAGCTCTCTTTCCGTGATTCATCATCATAATACACGATGGGTCTCGTATATTGATAACAAAAGGGGACGCGACCGGAGTGGTACGGCTCTTTGCCCTCGCCCGGGACGTCGCGGGCTCGAGTTCCACCGACGCCAGATTTCGAACCCTAACCATCTTTTTGTTGAATTGACACATTATTCCGTTCTTATTGGATAGAATACCCTGAAACATGACTCAAACACAAAACCAAACATAAAATCGGGAAATCGAATGAACTTAATACAATTTATGTTATTTTAGGATGTAAAAGTGTAGGCAAATATATGTATAATTTAGGTGTTATCAAATTCCCCCACACTTAATCCTTTGCTTGCCCTCAAGCAAAGCACGAAAAATGTAAGTTCAATCAAAACCAATTTCACAAGAGCTCTAACCGTGAGTTGGGAAAATGTGAATTTCATATGATTGCTAAAGATGGTGCAATAGGTACAAAGTTATGGATGCGTTCAACCACCACAAACAACATTCGATCGTAATACTCCTGTGACATTGGCAACTCTGACTAAGATTTATAAGAACATTCTTCTATCTTTATTAGTCATTCGACACAATCAATTGTTCAAGCATAAGGTTCACAAAACATAGCATGAGAGATCGAGCCAATAGATCTTACTTGGGATTTTAGAACTTGGAAAGTCTCTCTCACTCGACCAGTGGGGTCAGGGTAAATGCATGTAGCATGTATTTATCACTCTTTCCCTACCATCTCTCTGCCATGAGCTTATTGTTCGAGTCTCCAAAGTTGTGTCACCACTGACTTGTCAGATAGGTCTTTGTTCGGGTGTCAAAATGGGGTTAGGGGTACGGACATGTGGAAGTACTTTCGATCTGGTGGTAAGTTCAAGGTTCCAAATTTTTTTTTTTCAAAACCATGACTTTTCTGCTTATCTTTGTAAGATGAAAATATAGACAAGGGAGAAGATTTTGAGGATTAATAGGAGTTTAAAATGTAGCCAATGTGGCTTTTGAAGAATGACTCCTATTTATCATAAGTGCATGAAAGATGGTGGCCAACTGATCACTTTTTTTTTCTTTTTTTTTTTCTTTGTTAATTTTTTTTCGAGTGGCCAACAATTCCATTTTTGAAAAATGCACTTACAGAAATCGTTTCTTCCTATCTCAACTTTTGTATTTAATAAATGAAGCAGAAAGTCATTCGTTTAAACCATTCACACGGAACCTTGAAAAAGGGTTCAAAATAAATTGAGGCTTGAAGAACAGGGATTGGTTTAAAACTGGTTGTCACCGAACAAAAAGGCTCGTCTCAACGGGGTTTGACTAAGGGATATGATGTTCAGGGTAGTCATTTTGGTTGTAGGGGTAGAACCTATTGCCTCCGTCATCCTTGTCAGTGGTGTCACGACTCAAACATGTATAAATCAAGCATATCATCATGCACAGAGAGGGATCTAACACACAAGAAAGAAACGATCATGCTCAAGTCTCACGTGGTTTACTATATGATCTGTTTCCCATGCTATGCTTCCCAAACATTATGCAACAACAATCAAAGATGATAAATTTCTTTTTCAAGATATCAGATAGTTCTTTCCATCAAAGAATGAGTAGCACGAGAAACATTTGTTTTAATCCCTCAGTCGTCATTATAGGTTGACATGCATCCAAATTGCACTATTCTTGTACCAATTTTAGACAAAGATGAGACTCAAAACAAAACACTCTTTTTAGTATTTATTTCAATTTTTTTTATTAAATTTTATGATTTTTCAAACCCATTTTTTTATGGATGATGAGATTATTGAAAACAATCACAGTGATTCTTTGTCAAAACACATGAAAACGAACGAATATACCCCCCCACACTTGAATTGGACATTGTCCTCAATGGACGAAAATATAGGGAGTAAGGATTCGAACTGTTACCATTTTCCTTGTCATGGGATATAGTGGAATGATGTTCGGTGATTGTGGTTCCACTTGGCGAGTTCTTTGGTCGATGTTTCGTGACGGTTTTTATTCTTGAAATTGAAAAACTCAAAGAAATGTAAAATAAAAGAAAGGGAAGAAAAATGCAAACCAGCATTGGGTTGCCTCCCAATAGCGCTTCTTTAACGTCGTATTAGCTGGACTGTAGTGTACTTTGTCAAGGTTTCTGAAGATGAAGTGCCTCGGCATTAGGGTCGAAATTGCCACCGAGGTATGGTTTCAGACGATGACCGTTGACTTTGAATGTTCCCCTCTCGGGATGCGAAATTTCGGCAACGCCGTAGGGAAATAGTTGTGTGATCACATAAGGACCGGTCCATCTGGACTTGAGCTTCCCAGGAAACAACCGAAGACGAGAGTTGTATAGCAAGAC